AAGTGAGTACAATTGTACATGACTTACGTAGACATGAAAATAGATCCTCCCAATCCTTTAACTTTTTTCCTCTCAAATATTAACAAGTTTAAATACAAAGATAGTAAAGATAAACCTACCCTACATTTTAACTAAATCATTATGCAGGTTACTTTTAAATACATAAGGAGGCATCCATTAAGTAATGTATTTTATTTTTTCTTATATATTTATGCATTTATGACTTTCATTATCACATCACTCACTAGATGTATGACCATGTAGTGATCATAGTCCCATGACATAAAGTTGGCAGCACTGTATCAGAGAGGTTTTTCTTAAATTTCCTATTTTGCTCACAGCCTTAATAACTTCATTATTGACTAGTGAAATGTCATTCAAATGCATTGTCAAATTTAACCTCTCCCCTACCAAAAAAAGGAGGAAAAAAAAACAAACAAATTATGCCATAGAATACTTCTTAACATTTAAGGTGCATCAGAGTCACCTGTAAAACTTCTTTTAAAAATAAAACAAAGATGTATCTATAAATTTTTTTTATATGTGATTCTCATTTCCACCAAACATTAAGAGACTTTGTTAAAGAAAGTTTATAACATTGGGGAAGTTCAGCCAGTTACCAGAAAGCTTTCTTATTTTCACAAGTCTGGTCAACCTAAGAATACATTATAAAAGGAAAAATCCAAAGATGAAATAAATACTTAAAATGTGCTTAACTGTTTACACTCTACTTGAAAGGTTCTTATCTAATGGAATAGGTCACTTAAATGCCTCAGTGCTGTGAAAAGAGGCACAAAGCTATATGAATTCAGAAGGAGACATTATAGATGGCATATCTGAAAATGCTTCACAAAGGAGGATGCTTTAAGCTGGGTTTTGAATGATAGATGAGGATACTACTAGTATTTGTATTTTGCAGATCACTTTTGCCTCATTTTATTAATTGTTATCACACAACTGTTTAGTGACATTAATAGTGTTAACAGAAAACCTGGGGGAAGTATGTAGAAGATGAAACTAATTGGAGGGACTGCAGGAGTTGGGCTTGGGGTGCTAGAGATCCTAAAGGGACTTGAATTCTACACTAAAAATTGGAACTTTGGTCCATAAATATACTGGCATGTTCAAGGATTTCAGGTAAGGAGGTGCCCTATTTCCTTTTGTCTTTGTGATGATCCTAAAATGTTTAAACTTGGGCAATTGGTTACATTATAACTTCATGAGTCAAGAGAGAGAATATAGACAGAACTTTGGAGAAAGAAGGAATTTTTGTTCTGAAGCAGTGAATTTTGGATTTGTTATAGCTGGAAAATCTAGGTGTAACAGACAATTAGAGGGAGGAAATTTGAATTCAGTAAAGGATTTCAAGCTGGAAATGATGGATTGAGAGAAAACTAAACTCAGTGGAATAGATCTGATCTCCATTCATTCTGTAAATATTTACTCAAAGATCACTATAGTCCAACTTTTATGCTAACCATAGGAAGATATAAAAAATGAGATACTGCATTATTTAGGAATTCACAGATTCCTAGGATTTAATAATTAAAAGCAGGGGGTAGGGACATACAAGGGTTTTTATAAAACAATATATACATGCTTTTTAGAAATAAGTTATTCTCAGTGGAAAGAATGGGGAATGCTTAACTCTACCCCCAGGGCAAGGGCCAGAATGAATAGTGTGGAAAGTCTTTTAGAGTAGAACAGATTCGCAAAGAATGAACAGGAGATGGGTTGGAATTTACCAGCTAGATAAAGTGGGAATATGATGTGCAAAGTTAAGGTCCGCTTGTAAAATTGTAAGTAGTTAAGCAGAGTTACGGAACATGTAAAGGACTAAGTGGACATAAGGATGGTAAGGTGTCTTCCTCTCTGTAATCTGTAATATACCATATGTACGTAGTATGATGTACACACACACACACACAATTTAAAAGACATCATTTGTACCTTTTTCTACTCAAACAAGTATTTAGATCATTTCAAGTCACTCGCAGCATTATTTATAACTTGAATTAGGGTGGATAGACAACAAATTCACAAGTAAAAGCTGATGTTACTTATCTTTGAGTCATAAGTAAAAATTTCAAAACTTGAATGATTTTGCTGGTAACTTTCAGTAGGTTCATTATTCTGATACCTTATTAGATTTGGAAAGATTGTAACTGCCCTCTTCATGTGGCCTACACTTCTTCCCTTATTTGGTTAAAGAATATTACTTAAATAAAATAGTGCAGCTTTATGAAAGAGTTTCCATAAGCAGTTCTTTAAAAAAAAGTCGTTATTTTTTGACATCAACAATGGATAAATGTGCTTACGTTCATATAATTTAACCTTTCTGTCACAGAATGAGATTAGTACCTAAAATAAGAAACTTTAATCTTTGTAAGTTTATAGAGCATTTTGTATTTCAAGTCACCACAAAGTTATGAAGCATTTTTTATTATGGTTAGTAATGCTAGACAAATTTGAAAATTAAGTAAGTTAGAAGTGAAAATGCTGTCTTTTCCAGATTATTCTCAAATTTAGAAAGATTTATTTATATGTTAAATAAGAGTTAAGATTACCCATTGAAGAAAATTGCACATTTGGAATCCTATGGTTTTTTTTTTAGCTTTCACTTTAGAGTTGTATTTTTAAAATATAAACTAGTTTGTGTAATATTTTTAAAAAAGGTATTTAGTGGTAATATTTTTTTCTTTTTACAGGTTGAAGAAGAAGGCTTACAAATTTGTGTTGAAATATGTGGTTGTGCTCTACAACTAGACCTTCATGATGATCCCAAAACTAAGTGTCTAATTTATAAAACAATTGCACATTTTTTGCCAAATGATTTGGAGATCCTCAGGATTTGTGCACTCTCAATATTTTTTCTTGAGCGCTCCTTGGAAGCTTATCATACTGTTGAAGAACTTTACAAACGTCCTGATGAAGAATATAATGAAGGCACTAGTAGTGTTCAAAATCGTGTTCGTTTTGAATTACTTCCCATTTTGAAAAAGGGATTGTTTTTTGACCCTGAGTTCTGGAACTTCGTAATGATTAAGAAAAACTGTGTAGCATTACTGAGTGATAAATCAGCAATTAGATTTCTAAATGAAAATACACTGGAAAATTCTACAGGTAATCTGAAAAAGACAGTGGAGCAGAGAGACTTAGATGAAGGGCTTGACTCTCTTACAGATCACAGCACTGGAGAGCTTGATCCTGATGACATATCTGGAACCCAACCAAAAGGCCATGTTAATACAAAGAAAAACCTTACAGCTCTCAATGCTACTAAAGTAGATCACAACGTCCCAAGGCATCGGTGTATGTTATGTAACAAGGAATTTCTAGGTGGTCACATTGTAAGGCATGCCCAGGCTCATCAGAAAAAAGGCAGTTTTTCCTGTGTAATATGTGGTAGGAAATTTAGAAACAGAGGACTTATGCAGAAGCATTTAAAGAATCATGTTAAAAAAATACAAAGACAACAAATTGCTGCAGCTCAACAGGAGGATCAGGAAATTCCTGCTCTGGAAGAAATAAATTGTTCCAATTCTTTAATTTCATTTGAAAATGAGAATTCTGATAATAAAGATTTGGAAGTACAGACTATTAATACTTCTAGTGATGGAAACGAAGAAGTCATCCCTGCACATGTGGCCGAATTCACTGAAATTCCCATAAGTGTATCAGAAGATGCTATTAAAAACATTATTGAAAATGGCAGCCCTGATACTTATGTAAATAATGTATTAGAGCCTTTACCTGTATGTGAGGATGACTATGAGGAGGAAGAGGATGAAGAAGGTGATTATGAAGATGACTATGACCTGAATCAAGAAACTTCAGTACTTCATAAAATCAATGGAACTGTGTGCCATCCAAAAGATATATATGATACAGATCAAGAAGGGAACTTTAAGTGTCCTGCTCTTGGCTGTGTCAGGATATTTAAAAGAATTGGATTTTTAAATAAACATGCAAGGACTGTACATCCAACTGACTTAAATGTGCGGCAAACAGTAATGAAGTGGAGCAAAGGAAAATGCAAATTTTGTCAAAGGCAGTTTGAAGATTCTCAACATTTTATAGATCACCTTAATAGACACAGCTATCCAAATGTATACTTTTGTTTGCATTTTAATTGCAATGAGTCATTTAAGCTGCCATTCCAGCTTGCCCAACACACAAAAAGTCACAGGATATTTCAAGCTCAGTGTAGTTTTCCAGAATGCCATGAGCTTTTTGAAGATCTTCCTCTGCTATATGAACATGAAGCTCAGCACTATTTAAGTAAAACACCAGAATCATCTACACAACCAAGTGAAGCAGTTGTTTGGGATGTTCTTACAGACTCAAATCCTAATCATCAGGAAAAAGACTCATCTAGTTATGAGAAACAAGCTGTTAGTCTGCCAGTTTCTACTAGCAAATCAAGGAAAGATTCTACAGAACCAAAGACCTGTACAGAAAGTATGGAAAAGAAGACAGACAGTTTAGTTCAGAATGGAAATGAACATTCTGATGATACTGTTTCTGATATAAGCTTGATAGACCAAAAGATGCCTGACATAGAGCCAAATTCTGAAAATAACTGTAGTATTAGTGATTTAGTCAACGGACACAGTGGAACAGAACAGACACCTTTAGTTTCATCAGATCCTGCTTTGAAAATTGATACAAATAGAATCAGGACAGAAAACGGTTCCATTTTACCCAGCGTTCTACCACAAGAACACAATACCCCGCCAGTATCTCAGGCACCATCCAAACCAAATCTGACGAGTGAACATACTTCATATGGCTTAATTTTATCAAAGCCATATGTCAGACCATTGCCTCCCAGTTACCTTGATGAACGGTACCTTAGTATGCCAAAACGCAGAAAATTTCTGACTGATAGAATAGATGCCTGTTCTGATCAAGATAACATTTGTAAAAAGTCAGTGAAAAGATTAAGATGTGGCAAATGCCTGACCACCTACTGTAATGCAGAAGCACTTGAGGCTCACCTTGCACAAAAGAAATGTCAGGCACTCTTTGGATTTGATTCAGATGATGAAAGTAAGTCTTCTATCTTCTTACTAGGTATATCTGTAGAAATAGAAAATCCCATAGGTCTTTTTGAGGTTAAAAAAATTAACATTTGTATAGCACAGTGAGGTGATATTACTATTCTGTTTTATAAACTGAAATACACAAATAATTTGCATAGGCAGAGGCCTGTGAACTTGTGGGAGCCAGAACTTATACACAGGTTTTTCATGTGTTTTGATTATACTCTTTCACTATATCTGAGGCTTTTCTTCATTCTACGTTTCATGTAATTAAAGTTCTAGAAACTAAAGTAATTATGATGGAACTGTTTTTCATCTGCATGCTAGAATATAAACCAAGTGAAATCGAGCCTCTTTACAAAAACAATTGAAACAAATCAGAAAATAATTGAAAAATACAAAAGGAAAATAAAAACTTGTCTTTCTACTGATAATCAGTATTCTTTGAATGTGTAAGGGTATTAATAAACAGGAATCTGACTTAGAATTCCAGGTGAACATCTATAAAATTTGAATTAATAGACGTGTTCTCTTTTACAGGTGCCTGATAAAAATATTTCAGAAAGATCTGTTGATCAAGCAGTAGTGCGAAAAAAGCACTACAAGAAAATGCATCATCAGTTTGCTATTTCCCTGATGGCCTTAATTTTAGAGTGGTCTTGGATTACTAAAGATAAAGACAACGCACATTGTCCAGAATGAACTCACAGAAAAGTGCTGGGTTAGATTCCAAAAGGGTTATTTCAAAACTCCCAAAGTACCAGTTATCCAGAAAACCACATTTTAAAAAAGGTTTGTGAGATTAATAGCAGCATGTTCAGGTTTGCTTATGTAACAAACATGTTCAGGCAACTAGTCAAAGAGAAACAAGCTATGGCCTTACAGAAAGGAAAAAGTTCACCTGTTATTAAAAAGGGGGCAGGGGTTGGTTTACAATAAACAAAGTATTCTACAAATGGGATTTGTTTTCTTGTCATGCATAATCAGATCATGACCTCCCTTCTGGTCAAAAATGGTTTAAAGAATCACTGCTGTTTGCTTTATTATAATTTAGAAACTGATACATTAAAAAAAACAACTTGATTATCACCATTCTATTCATAATAGATTGTAACTTGTTTTCAGATGATTGAATAGACAAGTCAAAGTTCAATGAATGGCATGCCAGCATTGAAAATTTAAAAAAGCAAAACAACAGAGCTTTAATAGAACCTTCCATTTTCCATTCTTATAATACCAGTGAATTTAGTAGTATTTAAAAGGCAGCAGCGTTGATTAAATAGAAAAAGTACCAGCGATGACTTTGGGCACATATTGGAGGAACCTAAGACCATTAAAGGCTGTCTAGTTGAAGGAAAACACTGAATTGCAAATTCTCCAATGTGAATAATGGTATAAGCACACTGGGATATTTCTATTTGTATATAGAGTGGTATTAGGACATTGCTTGATGATTCATTGTAAGTCCTATATACATTAATGTGAGTTATGTAAGTACAGCCCTATAAGAACTGGCTGTAAGAAATATAAGTTAAGAATCAGGTCAGGAATTCATTGGTTTTATTCAGTTAGGAGAGTTAATTATATAATAAGCCATACTACTTATGCTTTCTTATTTATTAGTAATGAATTTGGTCTGAATAGTAATTTTTATATATATATGAAATATTTACACAAAAATTTGCACAAGAACACAGTAAGATATATTGACACATTTATTTTCCTTAATGACCAGTAATTTTCCTAAGGAAGATTTTAACTTAATTGTCAATAAATTGTTAAGACAAAAAATGTTTTTTAAATACCCTCTGAGATACATTCTATTGGGTTGGCCAAAAAGTTCATTTGTTTTTTCTTTAAGATGGCTCTTGTAGTGCTTAGTTGTCTTTAACTTCATTCAAAACAATTTTGTTAGATTGTATTGTGACAACTGTTAAATCAGCATGCATTTAAAAAAAGTCAAAATTGCTGAATTTTTTATGTAGCCATTTTCATATTGAAGATGGAAGAAAATACGCAACATTTTTGTATATTATGTTTCATCATTTTCAGAAAGATAGAATTGCAACTGAAATGCAAAAAAAAGATTTGTACAGTGTATGGAGAAGGTGCTGTGACTGACTGAATGTGTCAAAGGTGGTTTGTCAGGTTTTGTGCTGGACATTTCTTGCTTGCCAATGCACCACAGTCGGGTAGACCAGTTGAAGTTCATAGCAGTCAAGTTGAGATATTAATTAAGGACAATCAGCATTATTCCACGCAGAAAATAGGTGACATACTCAAAATATCCAAATCAATAAAATTACTGGTGAAAATGAAAAATGTATCATTTTACAGAAAAAACTAAACAGACCTTTTTGCCAACCCAACACCTGTACATTCTCTAAAAGATGAGGGTTAAAAGACTTCCGTTTACCTAATAGCATGTTAATCTACAGCAGGGATAAAATGAATAAAAATGCAAAGAAGGATTCTTCAAAAACTGAACTAGCAACGTACCAGTATCAACCAAATATTCCAGTATTCCAAATGACACATTTTTGTTCAAGGTAGATAATCTTATCAGGCCCTACTATATCCAAATATTTTGAATATTAAAACTTCTTGAATGAAGTTACCAAGCAAGTGGAACATTACTTCCAGGGTAGCACCCAGATTTTATTAAGTTAAGATTTCCAAGTCATGATAGATCAGACATCTAAAACACTTTCCAATTTCATTAGCTTATTTATCATCGGCATTCGCTACTATGCAATTGACAGACATACCATCCAATTAAATTTAGTGTGTTTTTTTTTTAATGTAGCCTACATTAGGCTGTGTTACTTTTAAATAACACAAGTACACACAAATCAATTAGATTTTTTAAATTATTTAAGGTCAACTTTAAATGTTTTCCAGACTCCACGAGACTAAAAATACAACACCAGAGATCTATTTCAGTTTAGTCTAAAATAATCATGTAATAAGTCTGTTTGGAAACTAGTTAATTTGGACAATGAAGTTTTTTTGAAATATATTTTCAACTTCATATTCCATAAGTTTAAAATTACAACTTAACATTTTTAACTTATTTTTTGTAAGTTGAAACTATCACGTCTACAAATTATTTTCATTCATTTTGCAGTTCATACCAAGATGTTTTAAACATACCCCACATGTTATTTTATTTTTTTGGTCTTTAATTTGAAGTTTTATTGCTACTTTTGTGTTGCTAAGGGAAAACTTTCTGAAAGACAGAGATCAAATCAGTTTATACAAAGTCAAGGAATGTCTTATAAAATTCTATTTGACCACATTGTTCTAACCTCTTAATATATTTCTCAAATAATTGCTATTGAAAGAATGTGTACATTTTATGTATTTTTATAATGTAAAATTACATCATTTTGCTTTTAGAGAGTGCATAAACTTCCAACAGTTCTAATTTGGAATCCAGAAGACAAGGAAGCTTTCTTCCTCATTTTATTCTTTCTTTTATACTCCTCTTTTGAGGATGTGTTTATTTACATGGACCAACTTTCAATCCTTTGATTTTAAATTAAAAATAATTGCCTTCAAAACATTAAATACTTTCTGTTATGTTTCAGTAAGGTCAAGAAAATGGCAAATCTGAATTTTTGCTGCTCAGATATTACGGAGGAGGTAGAAAAGGGGAATCTCCGTGGATAAGGACACTGGTACTTTGGGCTTTAGCCATATTCTTTTTTTTTTTTTTTAAACTGCCAGTTATATAATGACTAGATAATTTATAACATTGAACTTGTGATTCTTCTCAAATCACACCTGAAGGTTCAGCCTTTCGTGTTTGGTTTAAACTGTTGTATGGATTAAAAACCTAAAAGGGATAATAGTGTTTATTTTTTAATTTATTTGGTACTGTAAAACACCTTTTCAGAATGACTAAATGCTGCATATGCATTTTGGAATTGTTAATATGTGAAAGATAATTACAGATTCAGCAAGAAAGGAATTTGTGCTTCCTTGTTGAATATTATTTTACTTTGCATTTTATAAGAGTACAAATTAAAACTGAGCCATTGAACTGCAATAAATCAACAATAGTGTCTCATTTCAAGAAATTTTTTGTACTGTACATAGATTTGTTCAATAAAACATTGTCCTTATTGGTAATGAAGTGGTCAGTTTTATGTAGCACAATGCTTCAAAAGGAGTTAGGCTTAAGATATATATTAAGTAAGAAATTTCTATTGTTTCATAAGAAAATGAGGTATTTCAGTTAATATTACCATATTTGTATTGAATGATTTTAAAAACATAGAAAAAAGATAAGTCTAAAAGTTTTCATAAGTATACCTTTTTAGAAATTATTTTAACTAATGTCCACATGCAGGAATTAGAGGTTGCTAGAATTACTGAAGTCATTTCAGGTAAATGGTTTCAGTGTGAGATAGCACCCTCTGCAAGTTTAGTAGGTGGAAGACAAATATCAGAACTCTCCAAAAGCAAGACGGAGGATGGATTTATCTATGTTAGTCATTCTCCAAAGATGAAGAGTCTCTGGTGGAACTTAAAACAATAAAACAAAAACTCTGAAGTCATTTGGAAATAAGAGGTAAATGATAGCTAAAGTTACTACCTAAAAAAAAGCATTTCAGTGGGAAAATAAGATAGTCTGTTTCTAAAAGTGAGATCCTTGGGCATGAGGGCTTGCTCTTTTATGGTTCACTAACAAAGGAAAACCCCCTACACTATTTGCTATAACTTGTAACTGGAAAAAAAAGGGGCCCGATGTAGAAAAAGAACCTCTTTAATGTGATGAGTTAGCACTGCAAATGAAAGTACACACTGTTGAGTACAGTGTTTTACACATTACAAATGTTACGCTTTGAAAAACACTGAGGAGGTTATTAAAGCATTCTAGAGCTGAGATATAGAATTCTCAGTCCAGGATTTATGGTCAAATGATCTTAGACTATTAAATAAATGTATTTGAGGTATTTAGATAAAATTATTGGAGTTATCTACACTTCCATTTTTCTTTTCTGAAACTTGAGGAATTCTCAGAAGCAATCAAATACTCGTATAAGTAAGCTCTCAAGATAAATAGGTTGCCTTTCATAGCATAATGTAAGATTCATACTGATTTCAAAAACCAACTGATAAGAGACAAGTTTGGTTATGTATCAAAATTTGAAATGAAGTCAATCTAGCAGTGCATGGGATAAAAACTAAAAGGAGAGGTTCATGCCCTATTTGTGGGTGCTGCACATTGGAGAAGAAAATAGCTTCTTGTATTACTAAGTTACTGTGTATCAGCTACTTTATATATGTAACCCCTAATTGTGAACAGTACATAAGAATATTGCTGTTAAGAAAAGTTAAATAATCGACTAAAGTCACATAGCTAATAAATAGGTGGAACTGAAAAATCAGATGTGTCCTAAAATCATAATGCCATGCAGTTTCTGTCATGCAGTTTTCCCTACAAATGGAGAGCCTAAGTGGATCTACTATGTCCACATTGAGAGAGAGAGACTTGCCTGGAGAGCCTAGTGGATCTACTATATCCTAATCAAAAGAGAGAGAGAGAGACTTGCCTGAGGATTATTAATTTCAGAGACAAAGGATGAAGTTGACTACAGACTTCTACCAGCAGTGATTCTTATGGCATGGTTCCCAGAGCAGCAGAATCAGCATCACCTCAGAATTTGTTAGAATTCCTACATATTGGCAAGTGGGGAAATCCCTGGCTCACAGAACTCAGATTCTACTGGAGGGCAACTAACATACAGTGTAAATGCTACCGAGAAAAATTATGTGAGTAGGGAAGGAATAAGTAAGCATGGCATTGTTGGTGATCATTTTAAACAGGATGATGAAAGAATGTTGCTTTGTAAGGTGACTTTTGAGCAGGAACCTGAATGAATTAAGGAAAAAGAACCATTAAGATATCTGAGGGAGAACTGTGCCAAGCAGAACAGCAAGAGCAAAGGCTCTATGGCGAGGATCTGCTTGGCAGATTTAAGAAACAAACAGCAAGGGAACCACTATGACTAGTCTGGAGAGAGCGAGAATAATGGGAAATGAAGACAGAAAGGTAAAAGATAAAAGCCAAAATTTAATGGCCTGCACGACAAGATCTGCACTAATATAGTAGCTACTAGCCAAATGTGCCTATTAAAATTCAGATTTTCAAATACAGTTCAGTTTGAGTTTCTCAGTTGTACTAGCCACATGGCAAGAGCTCAATAGCCACAAATGACTGATAGTTACTATACTGGACGAAACTGATACGGAACATTTACATCATCTCAGCACTTTTTGACAGGTGATTCTATATGACTGGTTCTCAACGGGGGGTGACTTTTTGTCCCTCAGGAAAAATCTGGCAAATGTTGAGATATTTTTGGTATCCGTAACTGTGGGAAGGAGGTGCTACTGGCATCTCGTGGGTAAAGGTCAGGAACGCTGTGAAGCATCCTACAGTCCATTGGGCAGCATCCACAACAAAGAATTATCCTGCCCAAAATAACAATAGCACCAGGGTTAAGAAAACCTGCTCTCGATCAATCCTGACTACAACCCTAACCTCACTGCTAATTGCTGCCACCTTTCACAAGCTGCTCCAGACTCCTGGCCTCCTTTCTACATGCCAAGTATTCCATTCCTTAGAAATTCTACTGTTGCCTCTTCCTAGACACTCTTCTTCCATAGTTCATGCTCTTATTTTCTTCAGGTCTTTCCTTCAAGGTCACTTAGAGAAGCATTTCCTGACAGCCTTTCTAAAAATAGCAACATCCTATCACCCCCCTTTTGATGTTCTTTTTTTCTCCACAGCATTTCCTGATGGTATATAGTTTCTTACGTTTATTGTCTGCTTCCTTCCACTAGAATGCAAGCTCCGAAGGACTTGCATTTGTTTCCAGCAAAAAGAGCAGTGCCTTGCAAGCAGTTAAATGTTCAATAAATACATTATTTTGAATAAGTGAAAGAAAAAGTGGGGCATGCCTCCCATTGTGGTTCCATGTCAGCATTATGAGCATTTACTTGCCAAACTCCCAAAAGATTCTCGAAGGTAGGTCTGTGCGTTTTTTTCCCCCCGCTGAATATTCAGTACCTAGCTTAGTAGGCACTCAGTAATGCTTAATGAAAAATTAAGAATTGGTATGTTTAGTAAAATACTTCAAAATCCACTGCCAAATTAGATTAACCGTACTTTGAATTCCTGCTTTAAAGACTACTTACAGTACACTTTATGGGAGATACTTAGCTGTGATTTTTTAAAAATATATTAAATCTGCTCATGGGATCTGCAGATGTGTATACATTTCAGCTACTTGACTGGCAATATGTTAATTTTTAACAAATCTAAAATATGGCTTAGAAATGGAAGGAGACAGAGGCAAGTGTTTTTAAGTCTGATTCCTAATCCGGACTTCGTCCAGCAGAGCACGACTGTTTCCCTTTCGTGAATGTAGGAAATGACAGCTAATACTTGGAGCTTTCTTAGAAAGGGCCAGTCACTGTTCTTCATATCCTCCCCGTCCCCCCACCCTCCCGCACGCTCTTTAACAACCACCCTTGTAGGTATGTCTTCTAATTCTATTTCGAGATAGGAAACTGAGGGGCAAAAAGGCTCGTTCATGGTTACCGTTAGTAAATGGCACATTAACACCAGGGCTTCCGGCTTCCAGGGCCCTAACCTTAAACTGCTACGCGACAACTGCCCCGCCTAAGACTAAACCCGCGAGGATCTAAATGGAAGCCTGAACCGATCCCAGCTTGTTCGAGAGGGAAGTCAGCTGAAAGGCAGGCAGGCGTGGCATAGAAAAGAAAAGGAAAAAAAAAACTTTTCATAATATAATGTTAAAACTAAAGTATTTTGACACAGTACTATACAACTACAGGTACACCTAACTTGTGCGTGGCCGCGGAGGACTTTCAAGCCCTCTTGGGGGCCGGGCCAGCGAGCGGGGAGGAGGTGCCTCCATTGGCCGGCCCCGCGGCATCACGGGAGTTGGCCATACACTAGGGGCCGACGCCCGCTTTCCACGCACCTGCACCTGCGCAGCCGTCCCAGGCGCTCTTTTGGAGGAGGGACTCCAGAGGAATTCAGCATTTCGTTTTCTGCCACCAGCTCGCTTGTGGAAGGTTGACGTTGTCGGTGTAAACGGGGTGCTTCCTAAAGTGAGATTCGTGGGACCACGCTCCATCCCGGCCAGCCCGGAACGGCAAGTTGGAGCACCGCGTTTTCTGATTGACCACTTTGGCGGTCACTTCCGCTCAAGCATTTGGAATACCCGAGGCGCTTTGGATACGAACCGCCAGAAAAGTACTTCCGGTGCCTGTTGCCAAGGCGCCGGCCCCTTGGGCCTAAAGGAGCGACATTATTGGTGTTGTCCTCTCCCCGCTACCTGGGGGTCGAGATGTCGGGGCTCAGCGATCCAGAGAGAGAGGGCTGTCGTACCTTGCTTGGCCTGCTGGATAACAATGAAATCATGGCCCTATGCGACACCATTACAAACCGCCTGGTGCAGCCTGAGGACCGCCAGGGTAAGGATACCACCCTATCCCCAAGATCGGCCGTCGCTCCCCAGGCCTCACCGGCCCCCAGGTAGCAGGATCGTGTGAATGCAGGAGGTACAAGGCCTTGTCCCCCAACCCTTCCGGGACCGCGCTTGGGCGGAGTCTTTGGGAATCTTAGTCGCCACAGCTACCCAGCGGCCCTGGAACAGCAACGCAACCGCGGGCGGCCCAGTCGCTCCTTGACCCTGGGGGAGGTGTGGCACTCAAAAGATTTTACTCACTGAATATTATAGGCAAATAACTTGATTTGAGGAACCAGAGTACGTGAATAGTCACGTAAAAAAATTTTTTTTCCGGAACCAGGGTGTATTACATTTTGTTTCGAGTGTCAGCTGCTACTCAGCCATTTTCAAGCTGGGAAGAGAATTGCGAACATTTGTATCAATATCCTAGGTAAAACCACCACTGTAATGGTTTGAATTCATGTCTTTTGTTTGAATCCAGATTTTTTTCTGAGATTTTTTTTTTGTAGTAGAAACACATTTTCAGAGTTAAATAATCATTTCTGTAGGTTATTAACATTCAACCTGATAGTAATGAGTTCGTATAAAAATGTAACGAGTAGCTTAAGCGTTTATTTATTTTTGTATAGAACCTGCCTAGTTTTATTTTAAACTTGCTGGGTTTTACTTTAAAATGTGAAAATTTCAGCCCCCTACATTGGTAAAGACTTACTTACAAAGAGTCTGTTTTTTAAAACTGTATTTCTCAACTTAAGTCAGATTTACATTTTTATCATTTAAGAAAATCTCATCTGAAACTTCAAACCATAAACATTAAAAGAAGAAATTCCTAAGAATTTAGACTGAAAATGGTTTTAGACTTAATGTAGTTCTTCAGCTTTTATGTACATTGCATTCTAATCATCTCTAAAGACCAGGTGAGTGAATTTAAAATTATAGTAGATCAAAATTCTGGATTTAATTGATGGATCTAAAAGCAAATAAAGTTCCCAGTACAAAAATGTTAAACTATTTGAAGAAACATTTCTTGAAGAGGAAAAAAAAAATCACTAAGCATATGAAAAGTTAACCTCTTTAGAAAGCAGCGAAATGAACACCAAAACACACCATCTTTTATCCTCTGTATCATTTTGGTAAAAAGGCTGAATGTGTGAACTCAAGCGTTGGTGATCACATAAAACAACTTTAAGAACTAGCACTTTGGAAAACAAGTTTGACATTATCTCCTAAACTGGAAGATTAGCTTATTCTGAGGCACATGTTCTAGACTGAGCTTCTCAAACTTGAATGTGCTTATGAATCACTCAGGGATCTCGTTAAAATGCAGATTCTGGTTCAGTAATTTTAGGGTGGGTCCGAGAAATTTCACATTTTTAACAAGCTCCTAGGTGATGCTCATCTGCTTGCCCCTCTGCAGTGGGAGACATATAAGAGTAATAGTGTTTGTAATTGGACACATGCACGAAAAAACTTTATAAAGGGAAGAATAGATACCTTGTGATATAGTCATATAACAATGGTTCAACAGTGAACATGAACTAATCTACGTATATTCACATAAATTAATTTCAGAAACAATAGTAAGGGAAAAGTTGATTACGGGAGACTATTGATGGGTTGAATTTTACACAACGTTCAAAAAATACAAAACTATGTTGTTTAGGGATACATGGTTATGCTGCAACTACTATTTTTTAAAAAGCAAGGGAATAATAACATTTAGGATAATAGCTACCTGTGAGGTTAGTGGGAAGAGAGAGGGAATAGTATTAAATAGGGAGGGGTAAAATTACAGCCTCAAAGATGATAGTAATTTCCTGTGTTTTAAGCTGCATGCCATGTACTTGAGAGTTCATTTTATTGCTATTGTGTACTTCACACATGTTAAAAATAATCTTTGGTCTATTGTTTAATGTAATTTTTTAATTAATATGCAAGTCAAGGTTCTGCCAGTTCTTAGAAGTATTATTGATACCTCATGTATCCTTAAGTTTCATTTTCTGCACATCTAAAATATTGTAATATTACCCATTTTTATCAATTGTAACTGAATTTAGGTCCATTGGCTTTATTAGGAATTTTTTTTTTTTTTTTTTACTCTGGCTCAAATTTTTTCTAAAAACACGCTAATCTTTAAAAGACATGCAAAAATTTCACTGTTGTGAGAAGTGGAAGGAGAGGGAATTTTAAGAAGGGAAGTTTAAAGCATAAAGAAATTTATTTTTAAACCCAAAACCTGACGGCCCTCTTCCTATTTAAAAAACAATGCCATGTCATACAGAAGCAAAAATGCCATGCCAAGAGTATAAATAGAGTTTCTGCTGACCCTGGACATACTTACAAGTGACTCATGATTTACTATTAATCTTTACAATTTCCTTCTAGATGCCATTCATGCAATATTAGCTTACAGTCAAAATGTAGAAGAACTTCTGAAACGTAAAAAAGTCCACCGAGATGTCATATTTAAGTACTTGGCATCACAGGGGGTTATTATACCTCCAGCTACTGAAAAACACAGTCTTATCCAGCATGCAAAGGATTACTGGAAAAAGCAATTACATCTGAAATTGAAGGAAACACCAGAGCCAGTTAAGACCTCTGTGGATATTAGAGCCTTTCAACAGGTAAAATTGATCTTATAGTTACAACCTGAACCACAGTTCTGTCTCAGACTCTTTAGTCTCATTCTTGATATGGGATAACATGTTAATAATAATTTGCTTTTTATAATTTTAGCTTTATTTCATATTGTGTATTCTAAAGGAAGACCAGTAAAGCATCTAAAAGACGATATTTCTGACATTTAGTAATGTATATTAAATACTATTCTGATTTGTGAGGCAAAACAAAGTTTTATCCCCTTATCAAATGAGGATTATTGGATTTTTAAAAGACTAGATAAACTGCAGGATCAAGGTAGTTTTAATTTAGCCTCCAGTTTTCTGTAAATATTTTTCCACTTTGCACGGCCAGGGTGGCTCAGTTGGTCGGACTATCATACCATAACCAAAGGCTGCAGGTTCGATTCCTGGTCAGGGCACATACCTGGGTTTCAGGGTTGATCCTCAGCCTGGGTGCGTATGGGAGGCAGCCTGTTTTTGTTTCTCTCTCACGTTGATGTTTCTCTCCCTGTCTCTAAAGGCAATGAAAAATGAATGAATGAATGAATGCTATAGTAAGCCCTTTTTCATTTTGAAACATTTTTTGGTGGTTAATGGCAAAAATTCTATGAAACTTAAATATTTATTACATTTGATTTTCTTTTTTTTCTTTTACCTAAAAAAACTACTGTTGTAATTTTTTCTGGCTGATGTTGGCTATTCATACTCCTTTATATCTCCACTGTACATTTTAGATATTGTATGAATATTTAAAAGTTGATTGAATTTGCAGATTTTTAAACTGCATACCACATACTTTGAATTAATAAGGTTTTACAGTGAGATATTTACCTTTACATTAGGAAGGAATCTTAGAAGGACGTTTTTAATATACTGAAAAGACCTTGACTTTGAAATCATAATAGATGTGACTTCAAATTAATGTCTGCCATATACTAGATGTAAACTTGTACAAATTTGATCTTTCTGAGCTCTTTTAAAAAAAAACAACAACTATAAAATGGGCATAAGGATAAAGTATCTGTGTCATAGGCTTGTGAAGGGGAAAGGAAATACCACAAATGCCAACAATAATGCCCAATATATTCAATATGTGCTCAGTAAATATAAGATTTGATAACATGTAAATGAAGTATTATGCTCTGGAATAAATAGATGAATGAAGGTGTAGCCCATCAGGTATATTTTTACAATAACATATTCTTCGGTGGGGGAGGAGAGAACTAATAATGTAAACTTTATTCCAATCATAGAAAATAACCTATTTCAATATTAGAAGTATCTGTTTAAAGACTGATATTGTCAGCTTCACTGTGGTATGATTTATATGCCACAAATACATTCATTTAAGCATACATTTGAAAGGTTTTGACATTTTTTTCCATACCTGTGAAACCACTGCTACAATCAAGAGAAAACACTTATGTAAATCATTATTATCAACTGTTCATGATGACATTTTAAGAGGCTTTGTTAAACCTTAATTTCCTAGCTGAATTTTTAATGTTTAATCGTGGAAATTCTAAAATGATTTTTCTGCTTTTTGCAGAGAGAATTTACTATGCATGATGGGTTTAGTGAGTTTACATCTAGTTCATTTCACTTGTGCTATAATTAGTACATTAAAACCTAGCTATGAGACAGCCTAGATAGAAAAGTAGAATTAACTTTGGTTTTATTTTGTATTTATCTTAATCAGCAGGAGAAAGAAGATAAAACTGAAAAAGTTGATTTTCGTCAGTTAGGAAAAGAATTCTGTCACTGGTTCTTTGAACTTCTTAATTCTCAGAATCCTTTTCTTGGACCACCTCAAGATGAATGGGGGCCACAGCACTTCTGGCATGATGTCAAGCTTAGGTTTTATTATAACACATCTGAACAAAACGTGATAGACTACCAAGGAGCAGAAATCGTGAGCCTTCGTCTGCTGTCACTAGTAAAAGAAGAATATCTTTTTCTTAGTCCCAACCTTGATTCCCGCGGATTAAAATGTGCTTCTTCTCCCCATGGTCTGGTTATGGTTGGAGTTGCTGGGACTGTTCACCGAGGGAACACTTGCTTGGGCATTTTTGAACAAATTTTTGGACTCATCCGCTGCCCTTTTGTGGAGAATACTTGGAAAATCAAATTTATCAACCTGAGAATTATTGGAGAGGCTTCCCTTGCTCCTGGAGCATTAATGAAACCAGCTATTAAATTTGAACCAAGTGATCTAGAGACCTTTTATAATGTAATCACTTTATGTGGTACCAGTGAAGTACAATATACTGTAAGGTAGACATTGGGTCATGGAACTGGAGACCAAGTTTTATGCAGTGGAAACGAGACATTGTTGAATAAAAGAGAACTGAATTTGGATACCCCTCTAAAGCGTTGAGCACTGTATGTCAGTCTGTAAAGAAACTCTTCCAGCTACTACATTGACATCTTTTAGTTGAAATATCTTTTTTGATTATAGATTAATACATTATGTGAATACTTGCTTCTTTTTACCCAAGTTGCAGCAAATGTTCTGAGGGCTTACTACAGTTCATTAAATAAATCCCACTTTAGATGTTACAAATATTGTGCCTTAGAAGCCAGGTAACATTTTCATTTTACTGAGTGAATATTTTGCTGTTGGGTGTACTTTTCATGTGGGAGACGAGTAGTGGTGTTCAGACCTTCTCTTTTTCAAATTTAACAATCTGGATAATTTTACAAACACATCTTAAGGGCACATTTTTTAAAAAGTGCATATATTAGAGGTGTTTAATGTAAAATCAAAGTTATTTTAGAAAACTTGAATGGCATTCTTATGCAAAAAGTCCAGTAACTTAGCAGGTGTAAAAAAATTACTTGGCCTTTTTAAAATTTGAGGACCACACTTCAAAGTTATCTACTATAGCCCAAGCTAAATATCTTAAAACCTGCAAAATTTTCTGAACTATTTTAGACAGTGATAAGTGCTGGTCTCAAAACAGACCTTATCATGTAAGGCTTTAACAGTTTTATGGAACATTTATTTTGACACCATATAAAGGAGACATACTGTTGAAATTTTTGAAACGATGTGCCCAATTACTAACTTTTAATTGAATTACTGTTTCCTCTTGCTTGATGGTAACAACAACAACAACAAAAGAGAACAAACAAAAAAACCACCTCAAATGTGAGCGCATAACTCTCTCATCATAAATTAAAGTTACTAGGATTTTTTTGACCTATGATTTGTTTTACTAGGTTTGAGTTATGATGTAAGTTGCCAAATTAATTACATAGTTGATTTAAAATTTAAATTCCTCATCACCCAGGAGCTACTTGCTGATCCTGGATTTAGTTTGTAATTTTAATTTCCAAAATGCCCATTTGGAAAAAATTTCAACCAGGCAATGTCATGATGATGTATTGTACATGTTAACTTTTTACCTTCAACTTTGCTCATGATCATCTGGAGTGACTAAAAAGGATTGTGGAACCTGGAGGAAAATACTCTTTTTTGTTTTTTTAATGCCGTGCTGCGAATGAGTACAAATTGATATTTCCTAAAATAAAAACTTAATAAAAGAGGGAAATCTTTTTTTTTTGTCAGCTTTTAGAATAGTGTATTGTTTATATTTAAAGCCAAATTTTCTTAAAGTTGAGAATGTCGTAACATGTAATCGATAAATATCCTAAGTAAAGGATAAATTAAAAGTCACTTCCATCCATTCTCTCTGTGCTGTTGATGTCAAGTACTGCAGAAATGTAACTACAGATGCTCAGGATGGGCAGAAATTACCTCTAGCTCTCTGTAATATTGAATATTTGAGTATTTGTAATGCCCAGGTAAAGCTGCAATCTGTGCTTGTTTGCTTTAATCACCCTTAAACATTTGAAATTTTCCTCCTACACTAACTCTCTTGAGGATTGGAGCTATGTTTTCTATCCTGTGAATCCCCACAGCTGGGCACACACATATGATCTAATGTTTAACTGAATGGGTGAAAGAGTGAGCAAAATAAGCTCACATTCTGTATAAAAGACTTTTCTGCGTCTAGATTTTTATCTTTGGTGATTCTTATCAGTGGTGGTGTTTTTGATCAGATTGTCTGAGTTTTATATGGAGATACACGAAAACTGTAGGCCCCAGACTAAGCCAGATTTGGGACATACATGAACTTTCAGTTAAAATTTCCTGAATTTCAGAAATCCAAGATCAGAGTGGGATATATTAGGAGGGCACTATGACTACTTAGTAACTGCTAAAGGAGAAGTGGATACTTTGCAGTTTGGAAAACGAAGGCCTGGAGGAATTGAAATTTGTTCATGAAGCTTAAAACTTGAGCAGACCTCTGAGAAGGTCGAGAAACACAGTGCAGATTGAACTTATCTTTTACTACCACCCTTGCTCTGTTTATTTTAGTGTATAGCAGAGACTCCCACCCCAGCCTTATAGCTCTTGCTTTATCACATTCAACTGGTATTTGGGAAGTCTGTGGAGGCAAGTGGTAAGGAATAAAACTGTCTACACGTAATTCATAGTAGTAGGGTGGTCAAATCACAGGACCATCTGGGCTTGCTTTACTGTAGGATCATTTGCCATAGCCTAATAACAGGGCATTATACATCAAGTATCCTTTTTTGGGCAAATCTTAAAAGTAATAGCAATATCAGTATATTTTATTAGTATCTGGAATGCAAAAGAATATATTTCATGTGTCTCATTCTCTAAAAATGATAGGGGAAAAAAGCCATCTCTAATTTATTAAATCAACTTGCAAATGGCCAACACAAGTCAGGAAAATGTTCTTGGGTTTTCAGAAAAGTAGCATTTTTATGCTGTAAAGGAAAGCTAGTAAGTTCCAGTAAGAAATTGTAATAACACCTGAAAAGGATTTAAAGAATAGTGGTTTAATTTTAAAAATAGCTAATCAGAAACATTGTGTTTTAACAGAGTGGCTTTTGTGGCTAAATGCATCATAAAAATGAATGAAAACCATACCTTAACATTTTTCTTAGTATCTATTTTCACAAATTTAGATGCCCTTTTTCTTCACTTGTTCTTACTTGAGGTTGTGGAGAGGTGTTCATTGACCTTTTGAAAAATAAGAGCTGTGTTTGCCCTCCCCAGAAAAAGTATGTTTGCATATAATACTACAATTGTTGCAAAATATTTCAGTGAGTTCTTGGACTTCTTTAAAGCACATATGTGAATCCTGTGGGAATTCTTATACTCCATGTTAAAATCCTGCCGTAACAGTTTTATTCCCCCCCAGACTATTTATTCTACATTAAAAATTGAAATTATGTTTAGAAAATTTGTCCCCTTGCCAGAGTCCCAAAGCTAGGGTACTATATCTTGTAAATGATTTCTAGGAAATCTTGTTAGTTTATGATAGTTGTTAATTTGTAAATTTTGTTTTTCAAAAGATACCAGATTTAAGACAAAACCTACTGAAATACTGTCAAGTAAAACAAATCAGTATTCATTTTATTTCAACAAGATACATTTTATGAAAAATGAACATGCTTTGAAGTGATAAAAATGTGAAAAGGAAAATATTTTTAGAAATATTTTCTCAAGACCTTTACAAAAACTATCCTAAGAAGATGTTATTTAATAATGATCATGTATTGCTAATTCTGATGAAAGATTTAAAAAATACGAACATTTCCTCTGAAGGGCCCTCTGTGTGATCTGCTTTACACCACTTCTCCCCTCCCTACTCCCATCCCCCTATTTGTAATCTTTGTATATAGCCAGTTTGCAGACAGCACAGCTATAGTGCTGGAAATGGGATTTTCTGTACCTGGGCTCTCTTTAAGCTGATTCGGCATATACTTAGTGAGCATCTATCATTTGTAAGGTACTGAGGTAAGTGCAAGATAAAATAATTCATTACTAGGTTATTTACATAACTTTATGTTGAATTCAAGCCTCAGTCCCTGGGTTTAGGTGTCTTAAGGTATAAACTGCATATAGCTGGGCTTGGTAATATCCTTTTGTATGGTCAGAACACCAAAAAATATTTAATTGACGTTTTAAATAGCTGTATAGTTCTACCTAAATCGTGTAGATTTTTATCAATAAAGAATATAGGATATTTTGACAGACCATTTTATTTAGAGTTGGAAGGAAAATATTTAAAAATTGTATCAGAGTGCACTGAATCTTTTTAGCTTATTTTTTCTAGTTCAAACCTTTCCAATAGTCTTTCAGTAAAAAAAAAAGTGTTAATATTAAAATTGAATGTGATATTTGCTGGGAGTTAGAATGTACCTCAAAATATTAAACCAGAATCTCCACAATTACTTGTGTTAGTTAGAATCACTGGCCTAGAATTTGATACTTCCTGATTTCTGTCTCAGTACTGCCATATTTAAATTTTCCCTCTTAGTGAGTCATTTAGTGATGATTCTTTGGTAAGCAGTTCTCATTTCCAGTTTTCAGACACCCTAAATCTCAAGTGTGAAATTACATTTGAATTAATGAATTTAAGGATTGAGGGACTCCCCTGCTGCCCACTGCCAACTGTGTTAGTTGAACAATCTAATGTTTTCTGAAAAAAATTAACTACTGAGGAAAGCCATTTTTCCTGGATCCATTTAGTTGCATAAGTCTGTATTCATCTTTTTCATCTCCCCATTTTTTACTGTACTAATAGTATCAACACTTAATTGTCTCAAATTTTTGCATGTAAGTTACTTTTGCCTCCCTCCATATATGGTAAATTCCTAGAACTGGTGATTCTTATTTGACAATCTGCTTTTTCCCCTGTGCTTTGCAGGATATATAAGCTAAATTTTGGGTGCTTAATACGCTGGCTACTTTTCTGTCTCCGTTTTGTTTTAATATTAACTTAATCCTGGGGACAGCTAAATAAGGTAGATACCATTATACTTCTTTTACCAAAAAAACAGGGTTGAATAACTTCCCAGCATTTGAAGCAAATGGTGGAGCCTAGATTTAAACCCAGGTATGAAAACCTGAGAGTCTTGTGATAACTATTATGGTATATTGCCTCTTAATATGTAGTAGGTTTCTGAAGATCCTTTTTGATTGGTTAACTTCAATATGAAGGTAATCATTTGATGGCACTTAACTGCCAAAGCAAAGATGCCTTTACTCTGTATTGTTTATGTAAATACAGAGTAGGAATGTCAATGTACACGCTATCATCTTTTTTAATTAAACCTCTTAAGTTGCTCATCTAGTTATTTAAAACTACTTGGATGGCTGTGGCTGGTGTGGCTCAGTGGATTGTGTGCAGGCCTGCGATCCAAAGGGTTGCCAGTTCGATTCCCTATCAGGACACATGCCTGGATTGCAGGCCAGGTCCCCAGTAAGGGCAAGAGATAGGCAACCACACGTTGATGCTTCTGTCCCTCTCACTCTTTCTCCCTCCCTTACCCTCTCTCTAAAAATAAGTAAAATCTTGAAAAAAATGATTGGCTAATATAAAGATATATGTAACCATATATGTCAGATTCCTTGAACTCACTTTCACATCACAATCTCTAGTCCTCTTGCTTTCCTGTTAATGATACTGTTGTCCTTTCAGCCTCAGAAGTAGTCTTTGTTTCATGTGTTCAATTTCTTGCCATGTCTGGATGTAGCATATATACACTATTGTTTTCTATTTCCACTGTTGCTGTAAGTAGACTATTTTTACATAAACCTAGACTTATTTTTTGCTTTAATATTTCTTACATTTATGACATTATATTCCCTCAAAGTACAGCTTTCACCATATTTTCCATGTTCAGAACTTCAGTGGTGTTGCAGTACTTTCAGAATCTGGTTTTCATCATCATCTAGGTTTGACTCCACTCATTTTCACACATCGTTTGATCCATCCGTTACTACTGTACACGCTTTGTGTTTACTTATCCTATACTTATCCCTCTGCTTTTACTGGCAAGTATACGAAATTGTAAATTTAATTTTTTATTGTTGTAGTCTGAAAATGTGTTGTAGAAAGAAAAGAATTATGATTGAAATGGAGTTAGCAAATGGAAATTTCAGTAAGTCAAGAATATTTTCTCTTTAGGGATTTGTGTACATAATCTCTGGAATAATCTTTCCCTAGTTTTTTTGTATGGCTGCTTTATTTACATTTCGAGAATTTGGGTTTAATGTTTCTTCCTCTCAGACCAAGTGGACCCTATTGTTAATATTTATGAGTGTACCTTGTTTGTTTCAGTCTTAGTACTCAGATACCTTTAATTTATTAATCTCCCCCACTACATTTTAAACTGAGAGCTGTTTCAGTTTCATTGAATTTTCATTGCTTTGCACAGAGATTAGGTATTCAATATTTACTAAAGATACAAATAGGGAACAAATGCTGCTGTTTATTCAGAGCCTTGTATCAGTATATTCCTAGTCCTTTGCCTATGTGCTAAAGACAATGTTTAGCATATATATTAGATGCTTAATAAATGTTTAATGAACAAAGCCAAAGTTATATTCCTGAATAATGGAGTAAGAGCTCTAATACAATCAACATTCTTTAATAGATAGAATTATTAAAGGTTTATGCTTTTGTAAGAGATGAAGAAATTGAGCCCCTTCCCCTCTTTCCTGCCCCCCCCCCCCAAGGTTAAGTAGTGTGCTGAAAACTACAGTTTTGTTGTGATTTTTCCCTGGGTTTTTTTTTTTTTTTAACTGCAAAGCTTGTATTTTTTTCTTGCTCTTTATTTCCAGTCTTAACTACTGCAACTACCTTATTTTGAAAGGATTTAAACTCTAACCCTCCATTTCCTCACACATAAACCAATTAGATAAGATGATTTTTAAAGTCCGATTTTGAAGTTACATGGTTTTGCGATTATATGTGTTCTCAGCAACTCAAGAATATTACTTTTAAATAAATTTGTAGTTCATTATTGAGGATATTTTTTATTACTTTGCTTCCTCATAAATCATGCTCATTGAAAAAATATACTTTTCATTCTTTTTTTTCCTAATGAGTATACATTTTTAAGAGTTATGTGTGTAGCATGTGTATTTCTATTTATAGAAAGGAAAAGCAAAAGGATGAAAATATTACACATCAAATATACAATAGAAAAGGGAAAAAAGTATGAAGCCTTTAAAATATTTTCCTATTTTCTCATCACTGGAAATCCTGAAGTTGTTTGAAAACTATCATTCTGTAAAACTTTTTTGCTTTGTTTCATATATTCAAAATATATTTTCATGTTTTAGTCAAGAAAGTGCAAAGTGTTTTACAGAAGGCCAAATTATAGACTGCCAGTAATCTCTAGTAAAAATAAAGATGTTACTAACAATCAAAATTAAATGATTTCTCCAAAGAGAATTGGAGTTGGCAAATAAATGACATTGAAGACAGGTGCTGTATTTGGACAGGATTTTTCATAGGAAGGATGGCACTGTCTGGGTGTTGCTCATAAGGTCATTGAGTTAATTAAAGGAAGTTTTAACAGAAAACACTTAGCAAAATGAGGCTTTGCTGTGCTGACCCCATTGATCGGAAACCTTTATGACAGATTTAGTTTAGAGTACAGAAGCAAGATAACTAGAATAGGCAAGTGTGTCAGGGGCTTTAATGCTAGAACAATCACAAAATCCTTAAAGAGAAATTTTATGAACTCCTAGGAATTAGGACAGATTGCA